AGCCCCTGTGTGCAGYAGTGTGACCTGGTAAGGTTGCTGTGTCACATAGGCCTGTCACCATGAGCATGGCTGTGTGTCAGTTAAGTTCCCTCCTGCCCTGTCTGGTGTGGCGGCTGTACAGTGATTCCTGTCTGAAAATKCATACTTTACTTGACCATCCTTGCAGTGGATTTGGATGACTCTCTTATTCATTTTGCAGTGACTAAAAGCATTCGTGTCAGGCCTGAGGGTGTGGCTCAGTGGTAGAGCGTGCTCCTAGGTGCTCAAGGCCTTGGCTTCAATATCCAGCACTGTTGCTGAGTCTTTGCACATGTTCTAAGTAGTTGTCTTAAGATAAAAATCCTAGTTCAGTCACCCCTCTGTATCTATGGGTTCTGCTTCCTCAGATTCAACCAACCTTGGATCAAAAATATGTTTTAAATAATCACATCTGTAATGATCATGTACAAACTTCTTGTCATTTTTCCCTAAACAATAYGGTAGAACAACTATTTACACAGCATTTACGGTACAATGGGCATTGTAAGTAATCTAGAGATGATTTTAAGCATGGGAGGATGTGTGCAGGTTCTGTACAAATACAACATTACTTAATAAGGGACTTGAGCATTGAGAAGGGGTTCCTGGAACCAGTTCCAGGTATGGTGGGACAACTGAAGTAAAGTGGCCAGGTAAGGACTCAAGTGCATTCCTGCCAGGTCCCCTTTGGAGAGGCCACACCTGAAGTGTGATAAGTGTGCCTATTTCACTGCGAAACTGGGTACCATCTTGTTTCTGCTTTTTGCCAGTTACATAGGTAAAGAGCTGAATCTTGTATTTCCTGATTAGCACAGAGTGTTCACTGACCAGGGCTGTGTCTTCATGAATGAGTCCAGGATCCAGTGGTYTTGCTGTAGCCTGGCAGACCAAGTGCCAGCTAGGTTTTAGCCCAGCTTCTGGGGTATGTGATCCTGAGTTCCAGGAGGGGTGTAGTCCTTCAGTAACCTGTGTGTCTGCCCCTCCACAGAACTGTCAGACCTTCAGCAGCCTCAGCTGCCTGAGTACGGGGATGGAGGACTGCAGCCCCCAGAGCCCCTTCACCCTCCATGTCAGCAGCACCCGGTCCTGGTCCGCCCTGCTCTCTGCCTCAGCCTCCAGCCCAGGGGGCAGGACCCCTGCTGGGACCCCGGTCCCTGAGCCTCCTCCCCACTCCTTCGACGATCACCTCACCTGCCAGGAGGACCTGTCTTGCGAGGAGTCAGATGGCTGTGCCCTGGATGAAGATTGCAACAGAAAGGGGGAGTTGGCCACAGCCTGGAGGGACCGCGGAGCTGCCAGGAACAGCCTCTGCTCCCTGGATGGCGAGTTGGACATCGAGCAGATAGAGAAGAACTGAGGGTGCCCTGGGCCCTGGTCCAGGATGGGGGTGCTTTAGAATCAATGGGCCCCCCTCTGGGTGCTCGGTGGACACCCATAGGGGGAGCCCAGCTCCTGGGCCTGTCAAAAGCTTCCTGAGAGGTGTGGGGTCCCAGGGAGATTGCCCACCGTCTCCCCACGTTCTTTGAAGGTGACCTGGCCCTGCCTCTAGTGGGACGTGTCAGTCTCCCCAGCTGTCGAGCACGTCAACCACCAGGTCCACGGAACTGCTGTAGCCCACAGGGCAGCTTTTGGGTTTGGTCTTTTCCGCCTTGTTTCTTGGGGGGGTGTTGGACAGGGCTGGGCCCGTGCTGCATCCCTTGGGTGGGGATGCTGGGAGCCAGGCGTGGGCTGGGGCCAGGATCTGTTGGGCCATGTCCTGGTCCTTCTTGGCCTCRCTCAGGTTCACTCTGGGAGTTGGCCCACAGCTTCTTTCACTCAGTTTATTCCGTGCCTTCTCTCCCAGGTCTCCCCGCCCCAGGTCCGGGAAGGTTCGGGAGACACCCCCTCCTGTAGAAACACCAGAGCCACTTGGCCTTAATCCCACATGTGGGGGCTGGTATGGYCCCCGAGCAGGGAAGCCATGTTCATGCTCAAGGCCAGGGAACAACTCTGGGTGCTTGTTAGAGGTCGTCCACATTGGATGGGGATGGTGGATCTGTTGGCCAGAAGACACATCCACTCACCCCACCTGCGGCCTGGAGAGCCTCCCTGCGTTCCACTGCCGCAGGGGCTGCTGTGGCAGGGCTGGCAGTGGCAGGCTTCCCCGTGGCTCCCATTCCCTCATTCAGGTGAGTGCAGTGGTACATGACACAAGCATGGCCTCTTAGAAGTGTCCTCAGGAGTCAGGAGCTACGAGCTGGCCATTCCGTGGGGCCTGGGATGGGGGTCTGTGAACCCCTGCAGTATTTCTAGCACATTCTCATGTGTTCATGGGCACTCTGGCTTTAATCCATGTGCACTGCCCGCCTCAAGACATCTGTCCACTGTGGGAGCCCAGGCTGGGTGCCGTCCCTCCAAGGCAGGCCCAGCCATGGCCCAGCTTGCTTCGCTTGCTTCGTGGCTCCTCACTCCCRGCACTGCTCCCCAAGGATTTGCACTCAGGCAGCTCCCTAGCCCGCCTTGCAGACCCCAYAGGCTCTGCACTCTGGGAATCTGGCTTTTAGCAAACTTGGCATCTTTCGCAGACAAGAGCAAGTGGGCTGGCTTGTGAGCAAGTGGCTCATTTTCCCATAAGGCTAAAAATAGCTGACATGTTCTCGCGAGTTACCGACACGATCACSGGCACTTTTGTAGTCACTTTGCCTTTGCTCATCTTCGTGGATGAGCAAACGCCTCACTTCTGCAGGTCGAGTCCTATGGTTCTCACCGTTCTCCTAAAGAAAGACCCTGTTTGGGAAACTTTGTTTAAACCTTCACTTTTTACTTACATCCAAAGGGTGGTGGCTCAAATTCTGTTGTATAGTTGGCATCAAATCAGCCACAGGATGCTTGCAGGAAGCCCCTACCCCAATGGCCCTCAGAGCCCTGTGGCAGTCTCAGGCTGGCCAGCGCAATGGTGGCACTGGGTGGGGCAGTGTGTGTGTGTGTGGGGGGGGGGTTCGCTGTCACTCCTACCGGAGGCGCTGGAAAGCCAAACCAGAGAGTCGTGGCTCAGTGGACAAGGGCATYGTGCCTGATCCCTATACGGCCAGCCTTGAGGCCCTGTCTTCTCAGAGCAGCCCTAGAGGTGGTAGGTAGTTGTCAAGAGACCAAGGAGAGCACATGCCAGAGCCTCCTGTCCCCAGAAAGCCCAGGATGGGAAGTTCTAGTATCTGGAGTGGCCATACCAACGGTGGCCACCCTGGAACACGCCCTTCCTGTGGAAGGCAGAGGCAGGGTTCCCACTCCTTCCCCCCCAAAGGGCCAGCCAGCGTTAAGTCAGGGAATGGCTCCCAGCTGTCTTTCCTTAGGGCCAGGACAGGAGGCACCTGGTGGCAAGTGTGTGTCATAGGGCTGTAGGGGGGTGGCCTGTCCTCACATCCTGCCTGCCCCTACCCTAGGCCTGATGGCAGAAAGGCAAGCAGTGGCATTTGCTGAGTCACAGCCTCATCCTTCCCACCTCCCCCCAAGCCACTTCCAGGGCACTTCCAGGCAGAAATGACCCTATCCCAGGATAGGGTTTGGCCCTTTCTAGTCTCCTCATCCCTCTTGACTATTCTGTCCTACCAAAGCCCCTGGCCCCAGCTCATGATAGCAGCAGTGAGCTGCAGTTAGGGGAGGAGATGGCAGGTGTCCTTGCTTGAAGGAAGGCCTTCAGTTGGATTGTGGTTGCCTATGATTGGGCAGAGCAGGCTCCACCTAGAAGGTGCCCCCCTGTTTTCTTAGCAGCTACATAGCCCAAAGGCCTTTCCTGTGCCCTACTCCACTGGCCCCAGACTCTCTATCTTGGAGCTGTTGGGAGGGAGGCTTACCTGGGAGGCTCTATCTGACCCCCCTGTGGTTGTCCTCAAGGGTGGTGGGTGTCCCTCCCACCAGCATGGTGGCCCCAGCCAGCAGCAGGAGCAGCAGGAGCCTTACCTTCATCAGGCCTGCGTGTGATTCCTGCCTCCACACAGAGGCAGAAGAAGTGCAGGACCTGGAAGGTGGGCTGTGCCCGGCTGCCTGCCTGCTCAGAAGGCCCCAAAGGATGAGAGCAGGGCTGGGCTCCAGCAAGGCTGGTGGGAAGAGGGGCTTCCTGTCACRTGGCACACTGCACTCACTGCAAAAGCCACTGGACTGACAGGAGCTGCCGTCTGCCTGGGCACCAGGCCTGGGTTCAGGGCTGCAGCCTCACTGTTTACATGACTGCACACCCTCTTGCCTTATTCGCAGGTGGTGGGCCGCAGCCTGGCCCAGAGTCCATGGGCAGATGCATGCAGGTCCCCAGGGAGCTTGTCCTGACCATACATACGGATTTTCATCCTCAGAAAGCCTTACTTTTCAACAAAATTTTTGTAGCAGCAAAGTTTTGTGAATTTGTATGCTGAAAGAAAATTTCAATAAAGGAAAAGTCCACATTAAAAAGAAAACAAACCCCAGTTTCCAGTAGGGTCTCCTAATGCAGAGGGGGGTGATTTTCCACGCTCGGATGTGGCTGAGGTGCATTCAGGGCACTGCCTGTCCCGGCAAGCTTCCATAGCAGTCCGCACACCCCAGGATCCTGCGCCCATTTCCGCCGAAGGTTAAAGGCACATGTGCTCTGTGGCCAGGGGTGGTCAGCTGAACCACGACCGCCTGTGACATCACCACCTGGGATGGTGCCACCCAGCCAGGTGCCGGGGCTCAGGGAGCCCTGGAGGGCAACTACCTTGTGCAGGCCATGGCGTGACACCCCCCACCTCAGCCATGCTGTAGTCACATCCCTTCCATGGTGCCAGCCAGGGGAAACCATGCCTCTTTAGAGATGTCTTTTGAAAAAATTACAGACCGAAATGGAGCTCTTGTAGCCTAGGTAGGATAGTCTGACCTTCTAGCATAGTCTTGTTGGCAAATGAATTGTGATGTCAGTACGTGAGGGCGATGTCCGGGGCTCGGGTGACAGGTAGCATCTGGTCTGTGCTAGGGTTGTGCTTTTTCCCGACCGGCCCCGCGGTGTTGGTGTTGCAGAGCTTCAGGAAGTGTGGCAACCAGTGGATTGCTGGGCCAGGCCCCTGCTGGGGCAAGGCCACAGTGTGCAGAGGGTGCTGGGTCTGTCCCCCACCGCCACCCACCGCAGCCTGTCCTCCCTGCGCAGGCCATAACTGTCTTGCACTAGAGCCGCTCTAGTCTCAGGAATTTGCTTGTTACTTTTACTGTGTAAATAAAGCTTCCTGGTTCATACCCAACTGCCTGGGCAYAGCTGTGTAGTTTCTTTTGGGTGTGGAGAACGGGTAGGCCCTCCTTCCCTCTGCCACAGAGCATTAGCTCCATGCTCTCCAGGGCATGGGCTGTTCCCTTCTCTTCCCTCCACGCTTCAGAGTTGGGATCTGTCACACAGCCAAGGAGGGGTCCCAGTGCAGGACCACTCTRGGAGAATTAGTGGAGCAGGGCTGCAGGCTCTCTGGTGGGCTAGCACCAGAGCAGTGTGTGTGTGCATGTTTGGAGGTAGACAAGTCCAGCCAGGAGCCACAGAGCTGGGCGGGTAGAGGGGAGACAGCCCTCGGTAGTTCCAACCTTGCTGAGAGGCAGGGGTGCCAGCAATGTGCATTGGGCCTTGCCACCATGGAGCCTCCAGTCTGACCTGGCCTGGACTCTGCAGCACCCTGTGTGGCCAGTCTGCCTCTGACCAGCAGGGTAGCCCAGGAGTGCACAGGCTGGGCTTCTAGCCGAGGGCCTCTGCTCTCATCAACGGCTTGTAGGGCTCAGGCCTCTGCTGCTCAGCCCAGTGTGGGCACCCAGTCCTCTGCCTGGCCTCTCAGACCAGGTAACCAAGCTTAGGAGATTCAGGGTGTCGGCAGCCTTGAGGACAAGTGTGGTCACTCTCTATAACACAACACTCACCTTACTCCAGCTTAGCTCAGCCCATCTATGGCTGCCCCACTCTCTACCGTAGAGCCTCCCCCGGGGCCATCTTCTGAACCTCACAGTTTGCTTAGACTGGGACACCGCCCCCGCACAGGCTCTAGGACTCACAGGGTAGCAGCTCCACCCTCTGCTTTGGCATCGGGGCCTTACCCCTCTGCAGTCCCCAAGCCAGGCCAGCGCATAGATACACCTGATGTAAGGTCCATTGATGGGACATGGTGTGTGCCCACCTTTTGAGCAGGCTTCTCAACCTTGAAAAAGTATGAGAACCCCTGCTGCACTGGACAGAGTATGGACGGCTGGCTGGAGGAAATGCCCGCTGGGACAGTGGCCAGGCTCCAGGTGGTTTATGGTTTCTTTTATGCTTTTCTGTTAGAAACAATACATATTATAAGAAATCTATAATCTAAAAAGTCAAAACTCAAGAGAGATAATGCAAAGTGCCCAGTATATTCATTTCCAGAGAGGAGAAGCTGTTGCCAGTCACGCTGGAATGGGAGGTGAACCATGAGCTCTTGCTGGCTCTCCTGGCCCCACTTCTGTCCTAAGATGAGCATGTAGGAGGCTTTCTGCCTGCCTGACCCATCTGCTGGGCGGGGGCAATAGAGGGAGGGCCTGCAGTAGCCAGGGCCAGGCCCCCTTGCTTCACCCCCAAGGCTGGTAACTATGAGCAGCTGAAGGGACCCAAGGGGGGGGGGGTCACTCGTCATTTCTGGGCAGCATTGTCACGTTTAAGCAGCGGGACAAGGGGCCATCTGCTCCAGAGGGGATGGTAAATCCTGTGAGGGATTTAACAGATGAGGTAACCGAGGCTCAGGGCTACATGATTCCCCACAGGTAGCACTGAACCCCAACCCCCAGAATTGTTCATCTGGAGAGAGAAGATACCCATGCACAGGCTCTGCTGGAAAATCAGCCCTGGGGTCACCACAGGCCATCCCCACGGGAGAATTTCAGGAAGAGTGGGGGTAGCACTTGAGAAATCACCAGAAATGGCATGGGACGAGGAGCCAGGCCTTGATTGGAGCTCCAGTCTCCACTGTGCCTCTTTTGCTGGCCCTCGGGCTTGTCACTTCATCCTCTGTACCTCGGCTGCCTTATCTGGAAAATGATGGTAGTGACAACACCACTTCTTGCCTACTGCAGCCCCACGGGTGGTTGTTCTCTGCACCCCACTCCTGGGCAGCGACTTGAAAGAGGCTCGGCTGGCGGTAAGACAGACCAGCCTCCCTTCTCCAGAGGGCGCTGCCCGGACTGCAAATTCCTACCAAGGAGAGCAGGCGAGGCCAGGCCCTGAGAATGAGAGAAGAGGAAACCCAAACTCCACAGAATGTGTTCACAGCATGCTGCAGGCCCAGCCCACGCTCGCCCTCCCGCTGCTGGCCTCCTCCCACTCTGACAGGTGGCCATGGGGGCTCCAGCAGGGAGCCGGCTGACTGCGGACTTTCCAACTAAAAGTACAAAGGCCCTCCTCAAATGCCAGTGACACTGCCCTGGCCAGTGGCCTCTCATCTTGAAAAGACTCTGCCACCATCTTCTGATCCTGACTGAATGGTTGCCAGCCTGCTGGGCAAGGCCCTGGGCTCCCAGCTGCTGTGCCGGAGACTMGGGCTCCCGTTTCTGGTTGCTATGCTTGGTCACTGTCTGCCTTTGTCTAACGCAAGTCCTCTTATGGGGATCCCTCGCTTCTCTTATTTGAAGTCATCTCCCGAGATTTATCACTGGCTTCTGAATTGATTGGGGGAGAAACAACAATCAAGTTACCCACTCAGCTTATTGATTTTGAAACCTGAAACTTAGTTTAAGAGTGAATTTGTCCTGGAGGCTTTGTGGGGAGGCTTGCTCCCCYGGTCTGAACAGGGCTCTCTCCACCACCAGCCTCAGGCTGCTCTGAGTAAAGGCTGTGATTGAGATATTTGAGTTTTCCTCAAAGATTCCTTGTTGACAGCCTGATCCCTAGTGGGTGGTATTAGGGCCTTTAAAATTGGGGCCTAGTGGGTGGTCCTTAGGCCAATTGTGGGCATGGCCTTGGAAGGGATTATGGAATCCTGATCTCTCTAGCTTCCTTCCATGTGACCTCCTCGTGGTCCTGAACATGCTCCTGCCAAGATAGTAAGAGGTCCTTACCAGAGCCTAGCTGATGCCAATAGTATGTCATTGAGGCTCCCAAACTGAGCTAAATAAACCTCTTTTCTTATATAAAAGTAAGCCTGCCTGAGATATTCTATTGCAGCAATGTAGAAGGAACTAATTTGGAAGGCATTACTAGAGTTTTCTCTGGCCTATCTTCTCCCAGGTGTGGCTAAGGACAGCTCACTGTCCCCTCTGAGCCTCAGTTTCCTCATCTGTTAAAGGGGTAAGAACAGGTGAAGGGTTTCATAGCAGCCTTTGCCCCTCTGACATTCAGTGGCTCCAGCTCAGGGCAGGACCAGGGATAGTGCATGAGACTCCACCCAGGCACCCACCCTCTCCCCACAGGGCTCTTTGTGGTAGTCAAAGCCTGAGTCAAAGGCTGCTATTCAAGGCCAAGTTTATTGAGCCGTTAGTTCATTCTGTCTAGTCTGGTCCAGAGTACCCTCTATGTATGCAACCTTAACCTCTGTAGTATGGTGCCCTTCAAAGTGCCCCTGGGAGCTACCCCCAGCCTATCTGCAGTGTGACTTGCAGGTGGGGTGCCCAGCAGGCCTAGGCAGGCTGGTTCGGCTCTGAGCTGCTTGATGTGCCCAGGAGGCCCCTGTTTTTTCTCCAGGCTCCTCACTTGGCTGCAGAGAGCCTGGTGAAGGGGCAACATCCTCTACACCCAGCTAGGTGGAGCTCACTGCACTCAATGACCAGGTGTGAATGGTGCATGAATGAATCCAGGACAACCCCAGAGAGAGCCTCCAGCCCTGCTCAGAGGACTTTCACTCTCTGGAGGCCTGGCATGTCTGTCCCACCCTTTGGACATCACCAAGGCAGAGGCATGGCAGGGCCAGGCAAGCGAGCACATCATGTGGGTCATGAGCAAACCTCTGCCCAGGAGCCCAGGGAAGCATGGCTGAGGGGGGCTGAGGAACGGGCTGGTTGGCTGTGGTGCAGGAGCAAGGTAGCCCAGCAGGGCCTTCCCCTCAAAGAGGGCAGAGGGTGGGGCTGTCAGGGACTTGGGTGTCCTGAGTACTGGGGGAGGAGGGACAGTAATGGAAGGAGGCTGTGCCCTCCCTGAAGGCTGTCACTTGTCCGCATGCTGCAGCAGCAGATCCACAGCCTCTGCAAGGTTGTCCACGTACCCGTCAGCCTTCACTTCTGGATGGTACTCATCACTGGGCCTGAAAACAGAGATAGACAGGTCAGTCTGATAGAATATTAGCCCATTTCTCATTATTATACCAACATACCTGAGGCTAGGCCACTTTATAAACAGGTTTATTTAGTTCAATTTTGGAGGCTGAAAGCCCAAGACCAGGCCACTGCCTAGGCCTCTATTGAGGGACTGAAACAGATGGCATCATGGCAGGGCTCGGGCTTTCTAACAAGCCATTCTTGAAAACACAAACTCAGGGTCCCTCGGGAGCCACAGGAATCCTTCCTGAGCAGCACCCAGTGACCTCCTACTAAGCCGCACCTCTCACACTGCACTTGGGGAACAAGCCCCTTTTCCAAACAGCAGTCAGTGGACCGCCCTGAAGCCCTGAGCTGTACCTGGTGGACACAGAGAAACTGCCTTCTGGCCCCGAGTACAGGYCTAGCCTTACCCCAGGGGATCTCCAGGCCCCTGCCCTCTCTTCCCTCCTCCTCCACTTGGGTACACATGCCTCCCTGACTGTTCCTTCTGCCCGGACACCTTCCCAAACCAATTCCCATCGATCCTGTTTAACCCTGTGGCAGAATGGCCAGTACCTCAGCCCTGTCCCGGCCTCCAGTAGAAGCCTCACACTGGTGAGAGCAGGACCCTGACTGTACCCTGCCCTCGGCTCTCTGGGGACTTGCCCTATATCCTGCCTGGCCTGGCCTAGTACCAGTGGAGAGAGCATGGTACGTGTACACTCTGACCCAGTACTTGGGGCAGCTGGGTGATGGAGGACGCACCTCTTGCCTGCCCAGTGCTGTGGCCCCAGGGTGTCTGTGAGAGCCATGTACCATTTCAAGGTCACTCACTCCTGCCAACAAAGGAGGTGCCCAGGCTCCTGGTAAAGTCACTCTCTGCCTGGGTTCTGGGGACTGGAGCCCCCAGGAGATACCTGTTGACTAGATGTCCTGAGGCCTTGGTGAATGCCAACGAGGTACAGAGGCCGTGGGGCCCTGCCTGGGGCTCCGTGGATGATGGGCCATGGGCTGTATCCTAAAGTCGGGGGGCTATAGGTACACGTAGGTTGGGGAGGAGGAGCCCCAGTCATAGGAGTACCTCTGGGTGTGCTCATCTTGACAAACCATTTGAGGAGGTAGGACCTCCTCCCAGGGATCATGGGGAGCCCCAGTGGGTCTGTGGGCCACAGTAACATCCTGGTCACCTCCACGGTGCTCCTGGGCTCTTCCCTGGCCTCGCACACAGGAAAGTACATGGATCTTGGCAGGAGGGGAGCCAGCCCCCATGCCAACCTCCTGTTACCAAGGGACTGCCACTGGGGTCACCCCAAGGCCTGACCGAGGGCCCAGGAAATCCTGGCCGCCACACCCCTGCAGACAACCCATCTTGGCCGGGAAGGAAGTGGTGAATTTGGTCTGACGACATCTAAAAGCCAGGTTTGCCTCTCAGAGGGTTTCTTTTCTGCAAAGGGYTTTACCCTAATGTGACCGTCATGAGTGAGGGCACTTTTTTTCAAGACATTCAGCCCAGTGGCGTGGAGACCACCTTCTGGCAGGGAGAGGCCTCCTTAGGGACTGCTGAGGGCCCTGGACTTGGGTGGGGACCCTAGGAACAGATCCTAGAATGTGGACATCCCTTGTGACAGGGGAGAGTGCATCCCTTGACTGCCCAGGTCCCCGGGCCTCACTGGGCCAAGCCCTGTCCCTGCACCCTTCCAGGGACCCCACTTGCTCACCCACCCCCTTGTGTAGGTGGCCACTTTCCTCTGTGGCATGGCCCAAGTACAGCATTCACAGAGTCTCACACCCATTTTTTCTGTACATCCTCCAGGGAAGAAGTCGTTACTCCCATCTTACAGGTGAAAATTGGCTCGGGGGTTCAAGGTTCAGCCAGGATGAGCAGAGCCAGGGCCTGATCCAATTCTCTCTCTCACACTAGTGTTTTGGGAGCCAGAGCTGCCAAAAGCCTGCAGGCTGCTGGGCATTCTTGGTCTCCCCAGAAGGGGCCCAGGAGTTGACAGCAACCAAAGCACAGGGCCAGTGGGTGTCACTCTGACSGTGTGTGTGGCCGCCTGCCAGTCACAGGTCAACATGCCATGGAGGTGCCCCAAACCATGAGCCTGAGGGACAAGAAAAGGGGATCCATGTGCAGGGAGGGCCCTCAGGACCACCCACTCCACCTGCAAGTCAACAAGATGCCTCACATGTAGGCATGGTGATGTAAGGGCAGGATTTTGTCAGTGCCAGCAAGACACAAGTCAGTGAAGATGGGAACTTCAGATTCCCCTTTTTCTATGTCAGTGCTGAATTATGTACTTGTCACTGMCAAAGGGTTTGTTTGGTGYGGCCACTTTGGAGAACTGAGGATACCTCCTGTGACCCTCCAGTTTTCCTGGGTATGTAAACAACACAAATGAGAATGTTCCAAGCAGCTTTAGTGGGAAAAGCCAGAAAGCAAGCATGGCATGAGTGTCCCTTGGTGGGAGGATGGAGAGGCTGGCAGGTCCACACGTCAGGGGCTTTCTCCCAACCAGGACCACTCAGCAATGGAGGAGTGTCAGATGCTGTGGCAACAGGAGCRAGGCTCCAGGAATACCAGCTGGGACGCCACAGGGGCAGCTCTGGACCCTGACATGAGGGGCAGCAGAGGGAGACATGCTCTTTGCCATGTATTTTCAACCTCAAAAGCTCACAAAGAAGCCACATCTGACTCGAAACTGGAGGAGTCCACACCCCCTGCTTCCGGGCAGGCCAGGGGCCGGGACGAATCCTGCCTGCAGCCTTATGTTCCTAAAGGGCTGTAGAAGGTAGGGAACACGCCACAGGGACCTAAGTAGCCTGCGGAGCTAACACGGTGTTCAGCTCCTACAGAGAAGGCCGGGGCCTCTTCCGGCCTCTCTACCATCCTGGCCTCTGGGCACAGTGCCTCCTTGGAGCACGCTCACCCTCAGCTGTGCCATGAAGGAAAGTCGTAGCCCCGTCCCCTACAGCCATGTGACATGGGAAAGCCCTTAGGCCTCTGCCTTGGTGTCCCTGACTCGAAGGTGCACACAGGGCTCCCCACAGGAGGCGGGCCATCGCCCTCACGCTGGAAAGACAGCTTGCCAGTGTTCAGTGCACCACGGCAGTCACCGCAGGCTCGGCCAGCCTGTCTGGGGAGCATGCCAGGGGGCAAGGCCGGGCCTGGCCAGGGAGACGGAGCGGTGATTGGGCCTGTGTCTTCACTTGGGCACACGGGCTGGTGGGGACAGGCCAACAGATAGACACATGTGGACATGTGAAGTACAGGGAACACGGGGTGTGCGGGGGCATGTCTGACCCCACCACAGCAGTGGATTGGAAGAGCCGGGAAGCTTGGATCAGGACCACAGGGGAAGTTCCACTGGCCTGGAGCCCAGAAGGCCCTGTACCAGGACATGCCGCCGAGTGTGTCCACAGTGGCCAGGGGGTGCCCTCCAGTGCTCAGCCTCCTGCTGCCCTCTGCACGCTGGGCATCACTGTTCCCTGTCCACCCCTTAGCCCCCACCGCCTCACCTCTGCTCTACCTCTGTGCCTGAGGCCAAGTCCTATGTGGCTCTGGACGCGTGTGATCCGGCTGTCCTCCATGCCCCTGGGACCCGAGGGCCACTCCAAAACCCAGCTTACTGATATGTGTGGGGTGCCCCAGCCCCGACTCATGAGGGACTTGCCAGGGGCAGTGGAACAGCCAGGTGGCTTTGGCCATGGGTGAGGGCACCTGCCCAGGGACCGATACCCCTGCCCCTGCCTCAGCTCCCGGATTCCCAGCCTTCCCCCCAGAACAGCRAGGTCAGTGCGGTTACCCAAAGCAGAAGAAAATCTCTCCTGGCACACAACACCCTGGTCAGCACCCACAGACCTGGGGCGCCCCTCCTGACACCTTCACCCAGGGCCCAGGGCCGGGCTTGCCATCCAGGCAGATGAAGCCCACCTGAGAGGAAAGAGGACCCCCCACAAAATCAGACGCTGCCAGGAGGCTCCCACCAGCCCGGGTTTGCACATGGCTCCGCACACGGCTCCTTCTGTTTAATTATGTATCATTTAAACTCAGACCCACTGAAAGCGCTGCGCTGGAGYGGCCGGGGGTCACATGGGCCGCAGCTCTCAGGAGTCGGTCGGTGGGAGGCCACTCACTCCAGGCTGCCTGCCCCRAAGCCTCAAGGCAGAGGACCCCACACCATGGCCGACCCTGTGACCTACAGGCCTCAAAGTTGTTCTTTACCGAAGCTGAAGCAAAACCCAACAGAGACGCTCCCACGACAGTGGAGAAGCAGGAAGGATAAAGAGCGCGGCCTGACTCCAGCAGCCCTGCCAGCACAGGCCAGGACACGTGACCCAGGACGCAGCGGGAGGAAGGCAAGAGAGCAGGGCCCRCAGGGAGCCCCTGGGGCCGAGGGACAGCGACACAGGGAGGGTGGGATGGGAGAAGCAGTCTGAGAAAGGAGAGGGACCTACAAATGTAGGGGGGGGAGAAACCGACGCACAGAGAGGACAGACGGCGGCCTCAGGTGTGTCCAGGCCACGTGTGTCTCACCCACTGTGACTTGGGCTGCCCCTTCCCCTGGACCCTGCAGGCTCAGCTGAGGCTTGGCTGGGAGCTCCCGTGGGGTCCTGCCTCTGCCCTGACCCAGGCCCCCAAGCAGGGTGGGCTCCCTGCTCTGGCCCCACAGATCATGTGGCCTGGGCCGGCATCTCCACCTGCCTGAGCCGCAGCTTCCGAATGTCTCAGCTGGGCTTGTGACTTGGCTCTCAGAAAGAAGTCAGGCGTGACTGAAAATAGGTCTGGTGTGGGCCCTGGACCTGGTGGGCCTTGGAGCCAGGGCCAGTCTCTGCCCTCCCAGGGTCACAGCCCAGCTCCACCCTCATGCTCCTGGGCATGGCCAGTGCAGGGAGGAAAGRAAAGGGCTAGGTTCCGAGGGCGTTGGCGGGTGGTTAGAGAGGGTTAGGGAAGCTTCCAGAGAAAAGGCATGTGAAGCCCAGAGCCCTGCTGCCCTCCACCTTCCTG